TTAACAAGAAGTCGAAAATATCACTTTTTACCAAAAATGACAAAAATATTCACCAAAATTAGAGAATTGAAGATATCATCATGAAATGAACAAATCTGAGAAAGAGGTCTACCCAAGGTACATATACACCAAGTATCAAAGCATTCAGGCTTGTAGTTTCCAAGAAGAAGTCGAAAAAGTAAAACATTGACACGGACGACGACGGACGCCAACTACCAATCACTCGTATGATAAGCTCCGCTCGACAAAGTCGACAGCGGAGCTAAAAAGCATACAATTTTCCTCAGTCCAGAATTGTATCTATTTTAAACTGACCTGTAGGAGGGATACCCTGTGGTCCATATCTCTGTGACGCCATATATTGATCTAGTTGAGACTGTGGTAGACTATTGGATAAGTTTAATTGTGTTGTGTAGTGTGGTCCCCATGGTTCTTCCATGACTAGCGATGACCTGTCAGAAGGTAGAGATGATCGCCGTGTCCTCTTTTTCCTCTTGCTCTTTCGTTTCACAGAGTCTTCGGCAACTGCAGTCTTTTTCTTTTTTTTCCTTTTCTTTTTCTCTTCATCACTCTCTAATTGATTTTCGTTGTCTTCTAATACACGTTCATACTTTTTATATTCTTGGGTGCTTTCTTCGTCAGATAAAGTTTTAGTATTCCTGTAGGGGCACATACAAATACTGGAGTATGAGAACAATTCAATTGAAAATTGATTTAACAAAAAGCACATTGTTTATGCCTATGCAATTTTTCCCACTCAGTTTTGATAATCAACATCAAAATGACACGAAGAGAGCAGAATTAATCTATCATACTGCCCCCTCCCCCATGTGTATTTGAACACATGTATAAATATTGATCACATGTATCTTTTTCTCAGACATACAGAATGTGAATATCAAATTGATTACAAAGAAACTGTTCTGCAAGATTTATTTGTAATGCTATCCAAAGACTGGAACTTGTAAAAACAAAAGAATCTACCGGTAGTACTTTTATTTTTCATCCAAATTATTTGCCTTCAACCAAAAGAAATGGTGCTAATTTTATCAAGAACTATGAAACCATGTTCTACCCCACTGTTTTACAAAACTGGTTGAACACCAACACAATCAGCCTTAATTGAGAACACACAAACACACAATGGAAAAACCAAAACAGAAATATCCACACTATACTACCATACAATCCCTCAAATAAGCGCCACTATAATTCAAGAGCCAGTCAGATGAAAAACTCAAAATCGCGCCAAAATAGAGGATTTGAATAGAAAAAAATGTAATTCTATTTTAATACTATTTGGACAAATAACTGACCTTCCACCCAAGGGAACACAGTTTAACCCCTGTACTATCAGCCTGAGACTAGCTAACTTTTTGTGAGTATTGAGCTTTCTGACAATGATTTTGATGCATCAATGTCAACAGACACATAAAACATGTTAATTAGTTAGGTGGATTTCAACCCCACATTGTAGGTACAACATTAACAATACTGAAAAACAAACATTGACAGCATCAAAAATAAAAAACACTTGCAACATGGATTTAACCCTAATTAAGGCGCCAGGAATTCAAACATGGCGCTTATTTGTGGGATTTGACAGTATGTACCTATGCATCTTGTAAATGATTGGTAAATAATAATTATCCTCAGTGCCGTGGGCTCTGACAATTTATACTGGCACCAGCATCTTGCCTAGTGGAATTATACATACAAACAAGATAAAAATAACACAAAATACAAAGACACATTAATTACGGGTTTTGTTACAAAGAGTTTCAGTCATGCTTGGAAGAAGAAGATCCAGTTGTCAATGCAAGAAATGCAAGTTCATGGACGGAATAACATTCAAGGTATTGTGGATTACGTGGCAAGCATTTACATTAAGCAGTGGGGAAGCAAGAGCAGTGGGGTCTGAAAGTTAAGCAACATGTTAACAGTGAACATAAAACAGTAAACTGGGGGAATGTAAGATCCATTATCAGTGCACATACTTAATAAGATCTGGTGTCGGGGACTTCATCTCGATATCTTCTCGTTTTTTCTCGACCTTTGCGGGAGCGACATGGTTTCTCTGTAAAAAAACCAGAAAATACATCTTCAATTTACTTCTATTTGATTTGATATTATTAATTCAATGAGGAAACCTGGTTACCGTAAATACTCTAACTTAGGCATCAGAGAAGAATGAAAGTTCTTAATTTGGTTCTAAAATTGGCGTCACAAAGTGTTGAAAGTTTACAGTCAAAAAAAAAAAAAAAAACGTTGGTATTTCCACATAACAAAAAATACTTTGTAATATGTAATATTTTGATCTAGTCTAGAAGAAATTACAAATAAAAACAAACATAAACAGGTCAAGAATATTATAAACCAATCAGAATGCTGGATGGTGTCAATGTGTTTGTATTACCACAGCTCATTTAAATATGTTAATTGAAAAAGTGACATGAAAAAGATAACCAATGTTGTTGTACAATTATTTGGCATAGATTGGGGTGGGGAAAATGCACAGTTTTTTTTTTACAATCAGGAAATCAGTAATTTTTGACAGATTAATTAAGCAATGAAGAAACAGTTAACATCACTTACAGCAATAACAGCTCATTGTTGAGAGTTAACTCTGATTCACGCTAGTAACTTATTACTTTTCAATAGGCATCAGTGACTATGATTTAGGCGCCAGGAAAAATAGATGTTGGAAAAGTGATGTCTAAATTTATGGTATAGTATTTATGGTAGTTTTCCTGATTCATTTTAAAATGCAATAGAAGATTATTTTATACACAGCGTAGTTGTTCTACATGTAGCATACATCCCTGCACTATAGAAGACAAATTTACACTGATACAGATACTAGTGATGAAGGGGATTCTTACTTTAATTTTTTTAAACCGGGGAGGGTCTGCATCAGCACCAAAATTAGCTTCAATGTCATCTTGTTTGGCTTCCTGCTCTCGCTTCATGACAATGTAATCATACGTTGTCATGCCTTTACAATCTGTGAAGTTATCAAGAAAGTAGTAGTACTCAATGGGAAAACAGAAGAAAAACACACAAGTCACATGTGAAGTCATGATAGCATTATATGATGATGTCTGTTAATAAAACATCTTCATAGTAGTCATAAAACACCTGCCTTTGAATTGTTTCTATCATAATAATAAAAAATACATAACATGTTCAATAAATGTTTAAAATGATATTCAGGGGAATATTCTACATTCACTTCATAATATTGCAGACCTATTCGGGCACAATATTAAAGTTGAAATCAGGAAAGATTTCCAATCTTTGACTGGCATACTCATTGGTAAAGGAGGTGTGGAGAGCACATAAGATGATCACTTGACCTGGAAAGTCTGTTTTCTGTGTAAATGGCTGTCAGACAGCCTTTTTGAGTGATGTGCATCAAAATTATTTTATGTTTAGTTCAATGTATGTACCAAAGTTGAGCAAAATCCATCCATACAAGACAAGTGCTGGAATGACAGCAATTGATTTAATGAATTTTTGGCACTAAATTAGCAGCCATTTGGCCATCTTAAATCGGATCACATGCAACTGAAAATCCCAAAATGTATGATGTGTGAAGTTTGAATGTGATCAGTCCAGGTATGATACAAGTTCGGTCAAGTGGATAAATTACAGTCCCTCTATAGAGGAACTGTGGATATATGCATGCACAGAGGTGAAATTGCCAGTACCCATTGTTGGACAAATAACACTACTTACTGAGATAGATATGAAAGATGACGAGATGAGCCAACAAACCAGTGGCAATGACTGCTAACACAGAGGTTACCAATATAACTATGAAGAACGCCATAGCAGGTACAACAAATGAGAATAGTTCCATGTTCTCATACAGCCATGTAGAATTATCACAGTATGAACTGGATGTGTTCGATGAAAGCACAACATAGTCATAAGAGCTCGTCTCAGCTGGAGTTGGACAACAAATATATATAGTATATGATTATATATATTTATTAATTATGCAAGCTAGGGTTGAATAAATGATAAAATTAAATGAAACGTAGTAGGGGTAAATCCTGTTGTCGACTGAAATCTGCAAAAATAGTACATTGGAACACATACATAGAGGGCAAATGAAGAAAATTGCGATCGGTGATCAAAGCAATCGGCCATGCGGTTTTGAACAAGAAGTAGAAAATATCACTTTTTACCCAAAATATTCATCAAAATTAGAAAATTAAAGATACCATCCCGAAATGAACAAATCTAAGAGAGGTCTGCCCAAGGTACATATACACCAAGTATCAAAGCAACAAGAATTTTAGTTTTCAAGAAGAACTCGAAAAAGTAAAAACGCGGATGGCGACAACAAAAACATCAATGAAAAGCACAGTTACATGTCACATAGAGAATTGATATAGAATATGGAAAATAAATTACTCACCAACACAGTCTGGGAAGAGAAGGCTAGGATCTACCCAGAATACAATAGTGACGTAAATAGTTATAACTAATACAAGTACTGCTGCCAGCAATCCGCTACTGATAGTTGCAAAAAAATACCTAAATAACAAAAACAAGTGTATTTTACTTAAAAAACATAAAACTTTGATAAAATTTCCATGATCAAGTATATTTGAATGAATGGGCTTAAGATTAGAAACCACCTACAATTAGACAAAATACCAACCACAGTAGCTAAATAACTATGCACGATTTCACTTTCTTCAAGAAGGAAAATGCACTTCAGCTTAATTTGAATGCACATCAAAATTCATTTTAACAGCTGTTTCAGGATTCCTTAAGTTTCAGACAAAACAATTAATGACATTAAATCTGAAAACAGACCGGATCAAATATATTCGAAAAGTGAAAAAACAATTGCAAAATGTGTACTAACTGGCACTGTCTACGATTAGCAACTAATGAAATTAGTATTGAAATCTATCAGAAGGGAAGATAAATTTATCACTCTCCTAGCAACTGAAATCATTGAGGTGAAGTTAGAAGTGGTCTCCTAGCAACCAACACAAACCTGTAATTTCGACTTCCAACGCAGTTATTTAGCCATTTACAGTGATGATCAAAATTCTCTATACATTTATTACACACACTGCAGTGCTTGGATGTAGATGACCTATAAACAGACAAGAGACAATTAGTGCTTATTTATATGCATGTTACGATATTTCAGCGCTCCAGCGAAGCCAAAAGTAATTTATTTGCAATGAAGAAAAACAAAATGGTATTATGTGATTAAACCACCATTTCTCTAATAAATAACTAAAGATTTATTATTCTAATTTAAAATAGACTTCATACTGTTATTAGTTGTAACCTCCCTCCCCCAATAGAAAAATCTTCAAGGTTAACTTTTAGTAGTAGTCAAACCTGTGTATATTATATGACCATGCAAACACTCTTCATTTTACATAAATGCATGCACTACTAATAAAGCAAATATAGTATTCATATAAATATCATGTGAGTGACACGTAAACACTAAAGTTACTTACACATCAACTTCGCACAGATAACAATGTGAATTCTCAATAACATGGGGATGGGAGTTTCTATCCAACCTAGGCACTACACGGTCTTTAGCTAGCGTCAACGTTGCTGGATCAGCAGGATTAATACTAATACTGATAAATTGTACAATAAAATGTAAGAGAACTACAATACCAGGAATCTATGAACAAAAACAGTTAAGGGAAAATATACAAAATGGAGATTCTATAATATAAGTATGTGTACAGAAATTTGCCCTCTATTATTCATATTTTTTATCACATTATTTAAAAATTGTAAAATGTTCATCAACTTAACAATTTATATGAAGGAGTTAAATAAATAAAATAAAGGGTTGAACGCATTTAGAATATATGTGATATGAATCTCACCAGCTGCCCATAGTAAAGCTGGGTGAAGGTCAAAAAAACATTGCCCTACAAGAGACACACTTTACCACTGTAATTCTCTATTGGCCAAATTATATAATATGTAAAGCATAATTTTGGGAGAGATACATTTTTGATAAGCACCAAATTTTTAGCAGTAAACACATCACTGAGTTCCTTGAGCCAGAAACTCTGCCAAATTGTTGTTCTTGTGAAGTCTATAGTAATTTCATTTAAAATGTAAAATATTAGTAATATCTGACAATCATCTCAGGATGTAAATTATTAAGCAGCAATATGGTAAAACGTGTACTGTGTTTATTATGGATAAAGCTGACAAACCAATATCATCTACTTAAAGTACTGCAAATACTGTATAAACACTCAACCATAAATTATTGGTTTTATTGCCTCATTACTTTTCACTTACAATGTATCACTTTTCTCATAATACAGGCAATGTCCAGCATCACAATACCATGAACTAAGCTAAACTAACAAACAAGTCATTCACTATTGAATCTTTGATCAATGCACAACCCCCCAAAATGCTCATGAACTGACTTCCATGAAAGAACACAAAATTTTATTATGCAAGGTAATTATAGACACATAAGAGTAAAAAAAAATTCAAATAAAACAGCAAGTTACTCCATAAACAGAGCAAAATGTAAAATCTTTGTCTCTCTGCCTGTCCACGGGGCATGGAGTTAAGCTCAAACATAAACAAAATGCCTATTTTATGGTAGAAATTACAACTTTGTAAGAAGTATTATTACCAGGGCAACTGAGTAAGACTGATACCTGCCTAATGCTAAACAATACTTTAATACATCATAGCTTGCTCATCTATTCACAAAAACCTTTTTATTGCCTTTTGACTCAGATGGCCACATAGCCATGTCAAGTAGTCTCAAACATGAATATGGTTTCTGCGGCATAATGCACTATTGCTATATGTCAGCACTTGAACTTGCAATACGAGCATAAACTATAAAGTCGAAGAGACAACAGTGACATTAAATGTTCAGAACTGTCGCCCATCACAAAAATTTATTTAAAAATAAATAAATAAAAAACAACCTTTTTAAATGGAATATGTACACAAAGCTTTTATATCTATCTTAGCTATAGCATACATAAGTACATACACTCTATATAATATTGAAATGATTATTAAAAACACAACACTTCACAAAATTTCATTCTTGTCTTGTGTTTTTAAACTCTGATGAAGATTATATTCTCACAAATAAGTAAGGAATGTGTATCAACTTGTCATAAAAGGATACAATATAACCAGCCGGCTGCCACTCATACGGAAATGTTGGTACAATACATCCAAAGGCAATAGCGGCGAAGTAACAAATGAATATCCATTCTACAAACTGCAATGGATGCCATGGGCATGTCCAACCATTCTTACGAGAATGTGTTCTGTATGACAGTGCACCATCAGATTCTGAATGAACACTGTCACCATCGGAATGTTTCTTTTTCGTTTTGGATTTCATGTTGGTACACATGAAGAACTGCGTATAAGAAAAAAGAAAATTATCTTTTAAGCTATTATGCAAGCAGGGAGCTGTAATTACAGTTTTACAGCGAGCGCAAGATATTTACATACACCTAACTCGCGCACCCGCTAGGTAATTACCGAGGGACTTTGCAACATCCCCTGACACTTTGCTAGACGCCCCAACGACCGTTGTAGACGCAATAAAGTTACATACACTCTCACGTGACAGTTAATCAAAACACCGGACGCGGTATGCCTTTGATGTGTGGGCACGAGGAACAGGGGTAGTTGGAATATTCCATTGCTTTGTAGGTATAACAATCATTGCTGTGTAACACTTGGAAGAAATATAAAACGAACATAAAACTGGAAATAAATATTAACAAGAAACGTTAAAAGTAAATTCCTTCGATTGTTAGTTTGTTGAGATGTTGTCAATGGGTTTATACACAGTCCTATTAAAAATGTTGCGTTTGCGCATAATGGCATGTCCCATTGCCAGTTTGCCATACAGCGCCCAGTCAGTCTTTCCCAGAAATCTTCTACTTATATAGTTTTACATACTAGTACTAGTATATGCACAGGGAGCCCAGGAACTATGATCAACTGTATGCACTCCCTGTGAGGGGGGTGTGTCGGCTGGTATCTAG